CAACTTCCTCCACTGCATCCCCTCCTCCACTCAACACACGATTAAAAGCAGCAAATGTGTCCAAGGCAACCAACAAACCACCTACAACCACAGTCTTTGTTTTCATGCTTCAGCTTTCCCCTTTACTGGTCCTGGTATCATCTCTTTACTGGTTCTGGTATAATCTCTTTACCTGTCCTGGTATCATCTCTATACCTGTCCTAATATCATCTCTTTACTGGTTCTGGTATCATCTCTTTACCTGTCCTGGTATCATCTCCTTACTGGTTGTGGTATCATCTCTTTGCCGGTCCTGGTATTATCTCTTTACCTGTCCTGGTACTTTTCTCATAAACGATTATTTACATTTTGCATGTTTTGTTTTTTAAAACCATGTGTGACTTGTCGCCTTCTCTCTCTCTCAGACATCTTCAACCCCCCTACAGGTAAAGTCTTCCTCCCGACCTCCCTCCTCTTCTCCCACTCTGTGCTCATCCCCCCGACCCTCCCCCTCCCCCCTCAGGTGTAACATGGACTCCCTCTTACACCTGTTCGGCAGCTGGCTGTTTGATGCTGCTCTCATGAGCAGAGACTCTGGTCTTTCTGGTTAGTAGTTTTTGTACTGTATAATAGTATGCTGTAGCCAGTACTACACATTCTACACAGTGTACTACACAGATTGTACCAGGTTACTACATTCCTGGTAATAATAATAACAATAGATCAGATTTATACAGCGCTTATAGACACTCAAAGACGCTTCACACTGTCAGTTATTCATTCACACACATCCATCTGGTGGTGGCAGCGACGGTTGGAGCCACAGTTGCCCTGGGGCAGACTGACAGAGGCCTGGCTGCCATCCTGCCCTCCGACCACCACCTCAACAATCCACTCATACGCCTTCACACCACTTGCGTAATGTTCCTGCGAAGCACCTGCACACCTTTTGCACCTGAAAACTGTGTTCTCTCTAGCTGGACAGTGTGATGTCACTGTGATGTCAGAAAGGTGGGCAGAAGGTCAAGCTGAGGCCTGTGGGACACTTTGTAGGATCTTTACCTCTAAGAAGACTGCTGAGGATATCCTATCTGTATACCTGTCCAGGTATCTGTCTCATTACTGGTGTGCCCACCATTCCATGTACCTGTCTATTCACCTGTCTATGAACTGTTTAATGGTTGCGATCCTCCCTGTCTTCCTCTGTCAGGTTCTACCTGGTTCTCCTGCAGGCTCTCCAGATGTCAGACGAGGCGTATCCTCCTGTTCTGGCCTCCATCCTGCTGAACTCCACCTGTTTGTTCTGTTGTGACTTAAGAGGAGTGAACCTGTTGCTCCCGGTCTTCATCTCCGCTTTGGAGAAGGTGCTGCTTGACAAGTACGAGTACTACAAATACTGCAATCAATGTGAATAGTAGTACCATTACTGGAAATATTACTTCTGTAAAAATGGAACATGACCTCTGAATACTTGTCCAAGACCTCACACTCCTATCCAAGTCCAAGACTTTCTAGATCTTGTTCAAGACCTCTGACTCCGAGTCCATGACACCTGGTGCATGGTGTTATGCTGAGGTAACTCTGGTGCAGGTGAAGTCTGTTCTTCTGTGGTGTTCATTCTCACAGAAACTAAGAACGGCACAACATGTACACGTCACCGTGTGTTGTACCTGCACTTCTAAACGGAATGTGTTCTGGAAGTCTGGAGACACCTGATCTCTCCAGGTAACTCTCTGTCACCGTCTGTGTCTGTTTCCCAGAGAGCTGCTGAAGTTTAAAGGATTAGTGAGTCTGGTGGATTTAAGGCGAGCTTCCATCCTCATCTTGCTGTCCCTGCTGCCCCTTCCTCTGCAGTTTGGATCCCTCCAATCAGAGGTAACCTCCTACCCACCTGGATAGAAAACACCTGCAGAGACTCACTGTACCCACCTGTACAGACATGGACCACAGTCCCAGTAACACTCGTCTGTGTGTGCTCAGGTCTTACTACATGGACAGTTCAGTGATGATGCTGTCACGGCAGGTAGCTTTCTGTCCCTGAAGCCCCGCCTCATCAGTGTTCTGATTGGAGCTCTGCAGACAGAGACGGACACATGCAACATGCAGCTCATCCTGGGTGAGTTCCCGGTCCTTAGTTATCCTCTCACCCAGGTCAGCTCGTGACCCTGGTTCCTGCTTCGCCACTGTCTGGCTGCTTCCTGTGTTTTCATGAGTTTTAGCGAGTTCTGATCTGGTTCCTGCAGCGGCGATGCTGACTGTGGTTCAGGACTCGGCTCTGTTCGAGGCTGCAGGATCAACTCAGCAGGTGAAGTTTCTGATTCTACTCACATCTGCCTTGACTCCCTGAAATCGGAATGAGATTTGATATACCGATCTAATAGTTTTATAACTATCTATATTTTGTGCTTTAAAAACTTCTGACAAATCAGAGATGGTTGACGAGAAGGTGCTCTGAACGAGTGATGATTTGAGGAAGTCATTTGTGACCTCTGACGACGATGTTCAATTTAAATACACGACCAACTCTTCTGATTTCTTTCCCCAGTTCTTTGAGAAGTTACTTCAGAAGGATACAGGGGGCGCTAACAGCACTTTACACTGATGCATTGATTCCATCTGTGTTTGCAGGACGCTGAGTCCCAGCATGGTGGAGCAAGCAGACCCAGACGGCCTGGGGGAACCAGTGGAACCAGTGGAACCAGTGGAACCAGTGGGAGCAGATGGACCAGAGGATCAAGTAGTTACTGATGATTAGCTTTTAATTAACTCTTTAATAGAATCGTATTGATTCTGTATTATTGATCCATCGTGTCATGACAATCTGACTGTAACTGTGTGTGTGTGTGTGTGTGTGTGTGTGTGTGCTGCCATGGTAATTAGCTGTCCAGTCAGATCCAGTGGCAGTTCTGTGGGTTCAGTTTGTGCGTTTGCTGACTAAGCGTCTGACGTCTCAGTGGAGGAATGACTCAGCAGTTTGTCTGTCAGCACTGGAAGTACTGGGAGGACTGGCCAAGGTGGAGATGCACACACAAACACGGATCAAACGTTGTCTCTCTTCTTCTCAGCTCCCTGTGACGCTGTGCTGTCGCCCTGCAGGTGCTGGTGCAGGTGGAGGAGGTGGAGAGGAGGCGGGCGGTCAGCTCCATCTGCACCTACATCGTGTTTCAGTGCAGTCGTCCACCGCCGCTTCACTCCAGAGATCTACACTCCATCATCGTCGCCGCTTTCTACTGTCTGAACGTCTGGTTGACTCAGCACCCCACCCTGCTCGACCACCAGGTAACTAATGTACAGGTAACTGACCAACAGGTAACTGACCACCAGGTAACTAATGTACAGGTAACTTACCCCCAGGTAACTGACATACAGGTCGCTGACCACCAGGTAACTGACCACCAGGTAACTGACATACAGGTGATTGACATCCAGGTAACTGACATACAGGTAACTGACCACCAGGTGACTGACCACCAGGTAACTGACATACAGGTAACTGACATACCTGTAACTAACGCACAGGTAACTGACATCCAGGTAGCTGACCACCAGGTATCTAGCTTACCGATAACTGACCTCCAGGTGACGTGTGTTGTGTGTGTGTGTGTTACGTGTGTGTTTTCAGGAGTGTCTGCTGGAGGTCCTGGAGATTGTGGAATTGGGGATTTCAGGCAGTAAGTCCCGACAGGAAAAGGAAGTGAAACACAAAGAGGAGAAAGAACTGAACCCCGCCTCCCTCAGGGTGAAGGATGCAGCTGAGGCCACGCTAAGCTGGTGAGCAAATCAAACACACCCACCTTCTACAGTCTTCTTCATTCAGTCGCCATGTTGTTATTCTAAAAATGTTCTTTGAATCTGATGTTTTCACATCAGATCTGGGACACTTGGATATGTGGTCACAGACCTGGTTCTGACCTGATCTACATTAGTTGTGTTCAGACCTGGTTTGGAGGTTCTCACAGTGTCTGACCTGGTTCTGGTCTCTTCATGCTGGTACCTCAGTGTTATGCAGGTTTCTGAGGCGTTCCAGCTTGTTGACGGGTCACTGAGTGAAGAGGCTCTGATTGGCTGCTCTGCTTTGAGTGACAGCACCTTGAAGAAGTTCAGGTATTTTGTGGTTGAAAACTCCGTCATTCTGGCCATGTTGGAACAAGGACCAGGACCTGAGCAGGGTGAGTCCGGACTTTATACCCAGAACCAGGGCCTGGCCTGGGACACCAAGTATCCAGAACACACTGTATTACTCAACACATACTAGAGTAGCCAATAGTAATACTTTGACCTGGGAGTAATTGATGATATTGATCATATGTGCAGCTCTGCATCCATCACTCACAGTTTTGATCAGAGGACCGCCAGGACGTCACACCTGGACTCTGCAGCTCCACCTGCAGCCCAGGGAGGGACGAGCACACACCCAGGTAGCAACCTTCCAGCACAGCTGACCACCTTAAACACAGATGACCTTAAAGTCGGCAGAGGCTCAGACTTGGTGTTACAGCTCAGCAGTGTGAACAGTCAGTCTGCTGGTGGTGATTACGATGCAGTTCTTCATTAATCCTATACAGTGGGCACATTTGCATTGTTACAGCACAAACATTTAAGGAACATCAGTAAAAACATAAAAATAAACAAAAAGTACACATAACTACTTGTGATTAAGAAACACAATCAAGACAATATTGAAACAAAGAATCCTTTACATACTCCAGATCAGTGATTTTTCTCTCCTGTTTGTGTATCAAATGCAGCAACCTCTGATCCCAGAACAGCGCCGGGCCGCCCAAGAGGATGCTGGGATACGAAGTCCTGTCAAAAATCAGCTGTTTCCCGAAAACGTGGACAGAGTTCCTCCAGTTAAAGCAGATCGGAGTGTTCCAGCTCTGCATGAGACCGCGACAGAACAGGTAAGAACCCGGGATGACCAGAACCAGAACTTGGGTCAACAAGAACCAGAACCCAGTCAGACTAAAACCAGAACACCCGGATCAGAGTGATGATTTTATTTTCTAACCTGCAGACATTTACGGAACAGCCATTAGACATCAGTTTCTGCTTCAGGTGTGGGTCTGGTGTCACCAGGTGTGGGACAGGTGTTACCAAGTGTAAGACAGATGTGGGGCAAGGGTTACCAGGTGTAATTAAGTGTGAGACAGAATATACTAGGTGTGAAACAGGTGTGAGACAGATGTGGGATAGGTGTGAGACACATGTTACCGGGTGTGAGACAGTGTGGGGTACATGTTACCAGGTGTGAGACACATGTTACCAGATGTGGGTCAGGTGAAGACAGGTGTGAACCACATCCTTCTCTGACAGGTGCAGCAGCAGCTAGAGCGTTTGCGAGCAGCATTAAGAAGGCAGCAGCAGATAGAGGCTCGGCCAGTAGTCAGCGGACGTTCGGTCGACATGACGACCTGCAGGCCGCCGCCTCCCGCCACCCACTTCCAGACAGCGAGACTCTTTCTGTCCCACCTGGGCCTGCTAACACCTGACAGTGTGAAGGTACCGAGGACACAAGGACAGTGCATCAACCCGTTCAGATGCGTCTCATCCGTCTCACCTGTGCGTCTCTCTGTAGGACCCAGGTATCAGTGGTGTCCCCGCCCACCTCGTCTCTCTGGACTCGTCTCTTCCTGGTTTCTTTGACAGTTTGAGACGTTTGGATGGCCTGCCTTCCAGAAATTGTGACTCTGCCTTCATCTTCTACATGAAAGCAGGACAGAGGACAGCTGCTGAGGTCACCTCACCTGTCTGTCT